TCCCACCAGGTCACATGGCCGGTAAGCCACTCCCACAAAGGAGGCCACACCCACAGAGTAGGTTCCAAAAATTTTTGAAACCCACCACTGCCCCCACCCCACCTGTGTGGCAACTGAGGCATAGAAAAATGGCTTCTGCCAGGTTTGATTCAAAGTTAACAGAACTGTTGTAAATTGAAGACTACCTGTACTGTCCTAGGTATTCCCAGAATTCCTTATCCATCCCAACTATGAATATCTGTAGCCTGTCTTTTCCTCCTCGGATTCTCATTCTCAGAGTGTTCTTCTGAACCTCTATGGTAATTTTGTTGCCTTCCTCTCTTGATGCAATTTACTAGTATCACAGAGATCTTGGACCAACCAACCTATCAACTTATTTCTACCAGTGGACTGTTGGGAGGAACGTTGGGAGAAATTGTCAGGTTTATTCATGTTTTGAGGTCCATAAACAATATTATTCCACTTTAAATTATTACTGTGCACTTTCAGACAAAAGCCTCCTAAATGGAGATGTTGAGCCATCTCTGCAGATGATAGGCTGATGAAACAGATTATTACACACTGATATATTATGAAAAAGTAGGTAGCAGACAATTAAAGAGATGTTGCATTATTCATATTCACTACAAAAGACATGAATCTTAAGTAATAGTACAACATGAAGTCAATTTATTGTACAGCTTGTTTGTTGTAATCATTGTACTACAAGGCCTCATAAAAACAGATACTATCTTAGTAGAAGTCTTCAATTTTTTCTCTCCATCTCACACAAACAACAAGGACAGGTTTTTAAAAAGATATTACAGCCTCTTCTGGTAAGGTTATGCATCACTTAATACCCAATTAACCATATTTTTTCTTCTTCTTCAACCTATTCAGGTTTGTCTATTTAATTAAAATTCATCCAATTAATTGATAAAGTCTGCAGTCCCCTGCACAGTTACTTAGGACTGGACATACCAAACTCAGTGTGTCTTAATTCCCAGTAGTTAAGTTAGATAGGACGCGGTGGCTTAGTGGCTAAAACGCTGAATTTGTAGATCAAAAAGGTCGGCAGTTCGAATCCCTAGCATCGCGTAACGGAGTGAGCCCCATTACCTGTCCCAGCTTCTGCCAACCTAGCAGTTCGAAAGCATGTAAAAATGCAAGCAGAAAAATAGGAACCACCTTTGGTGGGAAGGTAACAGCGTTCTGTGCACCTTCGGCGTTTAGTTATGCCGGTCACATGACCATGGAGACGTCTTTGGACGACGCTGGCTCTTCGACTTTGAAATGGAGATGAGCACCGCCCCCTAGAGTCGGGAACGACTAGCACATATGTGCGAGGGGAATGTTTACCTTTACCTTTAGCTTATGATTCTACAATGTGAGATTTATTCAATTGGGAGACTTCCTAATCACGAGGTTCTTAATATATGATGACTTCGTTTCAGCACCCATCTGATGATTAAAATCAAGCCTTCCTTTTTGCATGCCAACTTTGTAACAAGAAGGTGTGAAGCAGATGTGAAAGAAAAACTACATTTCCAGCTCTGGTTGCATCATTCTATCTCTGTATGCATCCATGTGGGGCTGTACCTGTGTGTCTGTGTGTAAGATGTATGTTTTCTCTGCAGTTACAGTTTAGCATTCCTGATTTTTTTTTCCTTTTCTCAGAAAAGAATTCTGTTCCTCACTAATGACTATTTCTTCACTCATATCAGCGGCACGCCATTTAGGTGAGTGAGCAGATTCTGCAGGGGGAAATCAAATGAAATGTCTTGCATTACTATTCAGACAGCCTTAACACAAGTAGATAAAGAGGCACTACTTTGGTAGGAAAGTAGGATTAGGATTAGGATTTATTTCATTTATATGCCGCCCTTTTCCCCGAGGGGGACTCAGGGCGGCTCACAACTCAGTCAAGGGAAAGGAG